AATAAAAAGTCAGAAAAATAATCTCGTTTCCCTTTGAATTAACTTTATTTTTCTGACTCCACTGGCAGATATTTGTATATTTTATTTCGCTTCTCCAGTAAATGCATCTTGATTTAAAGCTTTCCCGGAGAGCGCTGGCGCTTGCAAAGCCAAGGTCATGGGTTCGATTCCCAGGGAAAGCAAGATCTGATAAGAATGTAAATGTGGAGCTTGAAATGCAATGTAAGTCGCTTTGGATAAAAGCGTAAATGTAATTTAAGAATGTTTAGATATTTGTGTTGGAAAACGAGTTTTTTGCAGTGTTTAGTAGACTTGCGCTGGGTGATGATTTAGTTATTAAAGGGATAGCTCACCCAAAGATGTAAACTCTGTCAGTAATGACTCTCCCTCATGTTGTTCAACCCCGTAAGACTTTCGTTCATCTTCGGGACACAAATGAAGATATTTGTGATTAAATCTGAGAGCTGGATCACTCCTCTATAGGCTTCTATTGTAATTGAAAGTTAGACGGCCCAGAAAGTTATGAAAGACATCGTTAAAATAGTCCGAGTGACTACAGCGGCTCAACCTTAAGATTATCAAGCGGCGAGAATACTTTCTGTGCGCTAAAAACACACAAAAATAACGACTTTATTCAACTCTTCATGTTCTTCTGTGTGGGCCTCGAGTGAGTTCACGTAGTGTAACAGCGCAGCGCTTCTGTCGTACGCATAGACTGTAAAAAAGATGGACGACGGCCCTTCGCTCTCTTCCATTGGTCAGAAGTGAAGCCGCCAGTGTCCCGATACGGCGCTGACATCTTGGATCTTGAGTCTGCGCAGAAGCGATCTCGGCACCAGACCCGCGCAGTCGTGAGCCGGAAGTAAAGCCGTGAAATCAAGGCCCCGCCCTCACTCTCGCTGAATCAATCGCAACAACACGCTCCTGCACTTTTTTAAAATTAATTATAGAAATTTATATATTAAATCTCCTCAGTCCTCCGTAGATCCCGAAAAAAAGTCTGTTGGTGCTTCAGTGACAGAGAACCTGTCAATCACAGCTGTCAATCATGACGTCACACCCCCGCACGTCCGCACCAAATAACTAACTAAAAACAAACTTATTTTAAAAACAAACTCTTGAAATTACGTTAGCGTGATAAAAACTACCGTTAATGACAGAAACCATCTTTGAAAAAACGATATTTGAAGTGTAATTTAATTGTTTAGTTGGTCTCACGTGCCGTTGAATAACACGGGGAGGCGGGGCTTATGAGCTATACTGGGACCGGCCACCGGGGGGCGATCGAGACACTGGGTTTATGAGCTATACTGGGACCGGCCACCGGGGGGCGATCGAGACACTGGGTTTATGAGCTATACTGGGACCGGCCACCGGGGGGCGATCGAGACACTGGGTTTATGAGCTATACTGGGACCGGCCACCGGGGGGCGATCGAGACACTGGGTTTATGAGCTATACTGGGACCGGCCACCGGGGGGCGATCGAGGCACTGGGTTTATGAGCTATACTGGGACCGGCCACCGGGGGGCGATCGAGACACTGGGTTTATGAGCTATACTGGGACCGGCCACCGGGGGGCGATCGAGACACTGGGTTTATGAGCTATACTGGGACCGGCCACCGGGGGGCGATCGAGACACTGGGTTTATGAGCTATACTGGGACCGGCCACCGGGGGGCGATCGAGGCACTGGGTTTATGAGCTATACTGGGACCGGCCACCGGGGGGCGATCGAGACACTGGGTTTATGAGCTATACTGGGACCGGCCACCGGGGGGCGATCGAGACACTGGGTTTATGAGCTATACTGGGACCGGCCACCGGGGGCTGATCGAGACACTGGGTTTATGAGCTATACTGGGACCGGCCACCGGGGGGCGATCGAGACACTGGGCTTATGAGCTATACTGGGACCGGCCACCGGGGGGCGATCGAGACACTGGGTTTATGAGCTATACTGGGACCGGCCACCGGGGGGCGATCGAGACACTGGGTTTATGAGCTATACTGGGACCGGCCACCGGGGGGCGATCGAGACACTGGGTTTATGAGCTATACTGGGACCGGCCACCGGGGGGCGATCCAGACACTGGGTTTATGAGCTATACTGGGACCGGCCACCGGGGGGCGATCGAGGCACTGGGTTTATGAGCTATACTGGGACCGGCCACCGGGGGGCGATCGAGGCACTGGGTTTATGAGCTATACTGGGACCGGCCACCGGGGGGCGATCGAGGCACTGGGTTTATGAGCTATACTGGGACCGGCCACCGGGGGGCGATCGAGACACTGGGTTTATGAGCTATACTGGGACCGGCCACCGGGGGGTGATCGAGGCACTGGGTTTATGAGCTATACTGGGACCGGCCACCGGGGGGCGATCGAGGCACTGGGTTTATGAGCTATACTGGGACCGGCCACCGGGGGGCGATCGAGGCACTGGGTTTATGAGCTATACTGGGACCGGCCACCGGGGGGCGATCGAGGCACTGGGTTTATGAGCTATACTGGGACCGGCCACCGGGGGGCGATCGAGGCACTGGGTTTATGAGCTATACTGGGACCGGCCACCGGGGGGCAATCGAGACACTGGGTTTATGAGCTATACTGGGACCGGCCACCGGGGGGTGATCGAGGCACTGGGTTTATGAGCTATACTGGGACCGGCCACCGGGGGGCGATCGAGGCACTGGGTTTATGAGCTATACTGGGACCGGCCACCGGGGGGCGATCGAGGCACTGGGTTTATGAGCTATACTGGGACCGGCCACCGGGGGGCGATCGAGACACTGGGCTTATGAGCTATACTGGGACCGGCCACCGGGGGGCGATCGAGGCGCTTGGGCTTCACTTTTCAGGGCTTGTGCGGCACGCTTGGTTGTACGTCACACGTAGGCTCACTATTGGCCGACGGTGGTCATGTGTGTGTAATGTGTGTGACGTACGACAGAAGCGCTGCGCTGTTACACTACGAGAACTCACTCACAGAGAAGGAAATGAAGAGTTGAATAAAGTCGTTATTTTTGTGTGTTTTTTGCGCACAGAAAGTATTCTCGTCGCTTGATAATCTTAAGGTTGAGCCGCTGTAGTCACTCAGACTATTTTAATGATGTCTTTAATAACTTTCTGGGCCGGCCAGTTTCAATTACAATAGAAGCCTATGGAGGAGTGATCCAGCTCTCAGATTTAATCACAAATATCTTCATGTGTGTTTCAAAGATGAACGAAAGTCTTACGGGGTTGAACAACACGAGGGAGAGTCATTACTGACAGAGTTTACACTTGAGGGTGAGCTATCCCTTTAATAACACACTTCTCTAAACTCTGATGTTTAAGAGCGTGTTTATAAGACCCTCACACACTTCGGTTTGGTTGATCCTCGTGTGTGTGTGTGTGTGTGTGTGTGTTGCAGGGAGTGAAGGAGCACAAGTGTCGTATCTGCGGCCGTGAGTTTACGCTGCTGGCCAACATGAAGCGCCATGTTCTGATCCACACCAACATCCGGGCGTATCAGTGTCACCTGTGTTACAAGAGCTTCGTCCAGAAGCAGACGCTCAAGGCCCACATGATCGTCCACTCCGACATCAAGCCCTACAAGTGCAAGGTGTGTGTCAGAACCGTCCGCAACCAAAGCTAATATTACAACCCGAAACAAAAATATACTCAAGGTTTCTATTAAAGGGTTAGTTCACCCAAAAATGAAAATGATGTCATTAATGACTCTCCCTCATGTCTCCAAGCCCGTCAGACCTCCGTTCATCTTCAGAACACAGTTTAAGATATTTTAGATTTAGTCCGAGAGCTTTCTGTCCCTCCATTGGACATGTATGTACGGTATACTGTCCTTGTCCAGAAATGATGTTTTATTAACAAAGTTCGGGAGGAGCACGTTCAAATAATTGATCCAATTATCACATCATTCCAACCAGCTGTCGACCATCAGTAATCAACACGTCTATCCAATCAGCTCGAGTTGGAGACCTATATATACACACATTTGACTCACCAATGTTCTTCGACAGTTTTTCAGCATCCCTCCACCCCGTCTCCTCACACTCACCTGGTTACTACTTAAACCAGCAATACGGGGGAGTACTTTGGGTTCGGGCCAAATATCCGAGCCCGTATACAGCACGCCAAATATGCATACCATTTATTCTATCTAACTTATTTGTAAGTGTGAACTAGTGAAAGGAAATAAAGACATCATCAAAGTAGTCCATGTGACATCAGTGGGTTAGTTAGAGTGTTTTGAAGCCTCGAAAATACATTTTGGTCCATTTACAAATACATTTACAATGGAGGGACAGAAAGCTCTCGGACTAAATCTAAAATATCTTAAACTGTGTTCTGAAGATGAACGGAGGTCTGACGGGCTTGGAGCGACATGAGGGAGAGTCATTAATGACATCATTTTCATTTTTGGGTGAACTAACCCTTTAAGTTATGAATCCAGTTTGTAAATGTTTCTTTGGTGATGAGAACGTTGTGGAAACATTATTCAAACATTATGTGAACGTCTCTTTTGAATGACTGAAGATATTAAGTCTGAAAAATGAATCAGAATTAAGTGAGTTTGTGCTTAAAACAAGAACAAATGGAGTTAGAAACATAATCCTGTTTTAGTTGAATTGTTCATATTTCTGACTCCATTGGGATATTTGTTGTTGTTGTTTTAAACACAAACTCACTTCATTCTGATATATTTTTAATTAAGCAAAACTTAATATCTTCAGTCATTTTGCTTCTCTGGTATCTTGATTTAATAATATTTAGATATTGCAATCCAACGCTGCTTTCATAACCTCCCCAGCAAATAAAAATATACTTAAGGTTTCTATTACGTTATGAATCAACGTCCAGTTTTTAAAATGTTTATGTGAACGTTAAACATTCCATTGTGTCATTCTTCAAACATCATGGGAACGTTACTTTTGAATGTTCTCTGAAACAAGTAGCAACATTTAAAAAAAACATTAGATGAAAGTTCAAAATTATTATTTCAGACGCTTCATGAATAACAAATAAATAACATTTTGAGATCATCATCCTCTGGTGCTCTTTTGTAAAAAAAAAAAAAAAAAAAAAAAAAATTCTTGATCAGAATGGTACGAAAATTTGTAAAGTTTTTGGCACTTGTTGTGTGAACACACACAAATCACGGTCATGATCTGAACAGGTTTAATGGTCCTGAAAGCAACAGTCACACACACTTGTGCTGCTCGCGCTCAGAAATGACGCATTGGAAATGAATGAGAGTTTCCTCTAGTGGAAGCGTGTGGAACTGCAGCCGAACACACTCTCACTGAACGCTCGTTTACTGAGATCATATTTTAAACACAACTTGTTTAGATTTATGGCTTTGCTTTTCTCACAGTTTATGAAAATATATATTTCATATAAAAATTGAAAATTGTATTTTTGCACATTTTTCATAACAATAAACGTAAAATTCTATAACTTTTTGAAAGTTCACTTTTTAAAACTGTTGTCACTTCAGCAATAATCTGCCAAGTGTCCTCTTTGAGAAGAGATCAAACTTCAGTCTGTCGCTCTAAAGCGTTCAAGATTTACACAGTTAAAGTTGGACATTTAATTTTCAGGTCTATGCTCAAAAAGTGAATAAATGGATTATAAATACAGCGTAAATATAATTTAGTACCATAAAATCCCCTAAAAATACAAAATATGAAACAAAAAAACATGATCCAACTCATTAATTTCATCGAAGAAAAAAAAAGAATGGGTCATTTTGGACTCCACGTGAAGATGGAAGAAAGTTTCTCAGAGAAGCTTCTGCTGTCCTAGTGGAGTTACGTGAGGGATGGATGTGAAAGTGCATCAGTTCTTCAGTGAGTCTTGGTGACCTTGGTCTCGAACGCGCGTCCAAACGAAGAGCAGATTGTGTTTTGGCAGTTGAGTGTCTCCTCGTCTGTAGGAAGGATATTCGCTGCACAAACTGAGCGTGTAACAATGGCTCTCTCGTCCCCCGAGAACAAGCCCGAAAATAGATTTCATCTCGCTTTCTCTTGTGCTCAGGAGCTCTTCCTGTTTTCTCACGGTCCGTTCGGACAGTTTACAGTCCCTCTATCCTCCTGAAGGAAAGGAAAGGACCACCCTAATAAAAAAAGAATAAAGAGGAAGGACAGAGAAACGCTCATGCTGGATTCAGTCTCATTTAACTCTCTCTCTTTTGCCTTTCAAATATATGGAGTGAGCGGCTGCGGCCGGCGTGTTCATGAGCAAAACATCCACTTTTAATGATCATCAATACAATACAGCAATGAATCCCAGCTCTAGCACAACTCGTTCTGTTAGCAAAGCAACAATAAACAAAAAAATCAGATCATATTCATGTGAGAAATGCCAGTAACTCGACATATTCGTGTTCGTCTCGTTTTCCAGCACTAATAAACATTCTTAAATCAAGAGACATTTACTGGAGGAGAACATTGGCGGAAGATGTTAAGACTGGAAAATGAAGTGAGTTTGTGCTTAAAACAAGAACAAATATCTGCCAGAAATGTTTCAAAAATCTATGTTTTGATATTTGTACCGGAAAACAAGACAAAAACACTGTTAGAGGTTGAAACGTCAAACACGTTTCACATCGAGATTCTAATCGACTGGATTTCTCCCACAAAATTTCACAGAGCAACTAAAAATCTGCGTGAAAGAAAATATGAATCTTTCTCCAGTGCATTATTGTCCTGATCAGCGATGAAAGCAATGCCACATGTTCTGAATATCCGCCAGGTTATCATTACTAGTGCTTGCTCAGGTCACAGATATCTATATCTGAATAGTTGCTCTCTTTACAGCTGTGTGGAAAGGAGTTTAACAGAATGCATAATCTGATGGGCCACATGCACTTGCATTCTGACAGCAAACCCTTCAAATGTCTTTACTGCGCCAGCAAGTTCACGCTGAAGGGAAACCTGACCCGCCACATGAAGGTCAAGCACGGGGTCATGGACCGGGGACTGGACGCTCGGGGTGAGTCCACTGCAAAGAAATTATTATTGGTTTAACTTTTTAAAAAAGTATGTTTTTCCTGGTTGCCTTAAAATTTTAAGTTCATTGACATTAAAAAAATTGAGTTAATACAAAGAAGGAGTTTGGTTCAATCAACAGAATCTCAAAATATTACGTTATCTGAACCACCTTAATTAACTAAGTTGATTTGACAAAAGAAAAAAAGAAAGTAGCATTTTCATACACCGCAAAAAAAAAAAAAATGCTTTTCTTACTTAGTATTTTTTTCTAAAGTAGTAAAATGCCATAAGATATTAAGTCTTGTTTGGTGGGGAAATAAATAAAAATAAAGTGAGTTTTTGCTTAAAACAAGCAAAATGATCTGCCAAATAATCTTGTTTCTGTTTGAGTTAACATTATTTTTCTGACCCCATTGGCAGATCATTTAGCTTGTTTGAAGCAAAAACTCACTTTATTTTGATTTATTTCCCCAGAAAACAAGACATAATATCTTATGGCATGCTACTCATCTAGTAAATGCATCTTGATTTAAGAATTTTTGGATATTTGGACTGGAAACAAGACAAAAATACTAAGTAAGAAAAGCATTTTTTTGCGAAGTTCATTGAAATAAAAAAAAATTGAGTTAATACAAAGAAGGAGATTGGTTCAATCAACAGAATCTCAAAATATTACGTTATTTGAACCACATTAATTAACTAAGTTGATTTGACAAAAGAAAAAAACTTGTGATAACAAATATTTTGGGTTTTCTGTTAAAAAAAAAAATAGATAAACATTCTTAAAGCAAGATACATGAGAAGCAAAATGACTTTCCCAGCGAGCAGGGAACGCTCTCTCAAAGTTCTGCACAATCTGGACTTTGTTAAAAAGCGTTATTTGAGAACAAAGTAACATTCTCATTCACTGCAAAAAAATGCTTTTCTTACTTATTTTTTTGTCTTGTTTCCAGTCCAAATATCTAAAAACTCTTAAATCAAGATGCATTTAGATGAGTAAATTGAGATAAGATATTATGTCCTGTTTTCCGGGGGAATTGATCAAAATTAAGTGAGTTTTTGCTTAAAACAAGCTCAAATATCTGCCAATGGGGTCAGAAAAATAATCTTGTTTCTGTTTGAATTAACGTTATTTTTCTGACCCCATTGGCAGATCATTTTGCTTGTTTTAAGCAAAAACTCACTTAATTTTGATTAATTCCCCCGGAAAACAAGACTTAATATCTTATGTCATGCTACTCATCTAGTAAATGCATCTTGATTTAAGAATCTTTTGATATTTGGACTGGAAACAAGACACAAATACTAAGTAAGAACAGCATTTGTTTGCAGTGTATGTTTGAATAGTGATACAATGGAACGTTTTTTTAAATGTAACTTGTCTCTGAACATTCCGAGAACATTCAAAAGTAACATTCTCAGAGTGTTTGAAGAATGATACAATACGGAATGTTGTTGCTTCTTCTCCAGTAAATGTATCTTTTTAAGAATGTTTAGATGCTTTTTGCTGGAAGACGTGATTTTTGACAGATGTTGGTATGATAATGATGATGTTGTCGTCAGTGTTCAGGCGCCGGGGTCGTCTGTGTCTCTCCGGGCCGCTCCGGATCCTGTCCCGCATCACTCAGGACGAGCCCTTCGATCTGTCCCGGAAGAACCCGGATCCGAACCAGAACCCGATGAGCCTGTCTCCGTCTGACGGCGGGAGCTCCAGTCGGGACGAGGACGAGGACAGTGTGTACAGTCCTGATCTCTACGACAAGAAGAAGACACAACACACACACTTCTACAGCATTAAAGAGGACGATTTCTGAGACAAACACTGCAAAAATGCGTTTCTTACTCAGTAGTTTAGTCTTGTTTCCAGTCCAAATATCTAAAAAAGTCTTAAATCAAGATGCATTTACTAGATGAGTAAAACGCCATTAGATATTATGTCCTGTTTTCCGAAGAATTAATCAGAATTAAGTGAGTTGATGCTTAAAAAAAGCGAAATTATCTGCCAATGGAGTCAGAAAAATAATATTAACTCAAACAGAAACAGGATTATTTTTCTGACCCCATTGGCAGATCATTTTGCTTGTTTTAAGCAAAAACTCACTTTATTTTTTTTTATTTCCCCACCAAACAAGACTTAATATCTTATGGGATTTTACTCATCTAGTAAATGCATCTTGATTTAAGACTTTTTTTATATTTGGACTGGAAACGAGACTAAAATACTGAGTAAGAAACACATTTTCTGCAGTGCACACGCTGTGATGTTTTTAAATATTTTTTCATGTGAAAAATGTACAGAAATCTTTGCAAGTATCTTGATTTTCAGAAGAAGCGTAGCATGTTTAGTCTACTTGGTATCATAATGTACAATGAAATTAATATAATTGAGAGAAGAAACCTGATATATTTCTGATCATTAATGCTAATTGCCTTCAATGGAGGTGTAACTGCTTATAAATGTTCTGACTTTGATAAATTAATGATGACGAGTTCTGACAGCTTCATGATTTTGTATTTTTGCAGTGTGTAAACGCATGGATGATCATAAACGATTTCAATCGACCGCTGTGTGAATGCTGATCAATATTTATGTACAATAAATTTTTCAGACTTAATATCTTCAGTCATTTTGCTTCTTCTCCAGTAAATGTGTACAGGTGAAACTCGAAAAATTAGATTATGGTGCAAAAGTTCATTTATTTCAGTAATTCAACTTAAAAGGTGAAACTAATATATTATATAGACTCATTACATGCAAAGTGAGATATTTCAAGCCTTTATTTGTAATAATTTTGATAATTATGGCGTAAAGATATAAAAACCTTTAATTTGGGGTTTTCATATCTGTAAGCCATAATCATCACAATTATAACAAATAAAGGCTTGAAATATCTCACTTTGCATGTAATGAGTCTATATAATATATTAGTTTCACCTTTTAAGTTGAATTACTGAAATAAATGAACTTTTGCACCATATTCTAATTTTTCGAGTTTCAATAG